TCTCCTGCCGTCCCCCCCGGGTGGCAGGGATGGGGGCGGGCTGCTCCAGCACAGCCATGACAACAGCAGCTCTCGGGCTTCCCGCTCCTGCCATCTGGTTGCGAGCAGCTCTGCCAGGCAGCCAGTCCAAGCTGAAATTTTCCATGCCTGCAGTCAGGTTGTGTTTCAGAAAGGCTTTGTGGGCGAGGGGGAGAGCAGGATGGTCGGGGGGGTTAACTGGTGGAAAAGGTTATCGTAAGGGAATGAAGCACCCGGGGCAGCTTGTGGTAAGGGAGCATTTGGTCAGCCCGATTACAGCCGAGGAAAACTTGCTCAGCCCCCCCACGAAGTTTTCTGGGTGGTCCGACGCTGAGGACCGACAGATAGTTTTCCAAGCAAGTGCCTTTGTGTCACTAGAGGGTGACACCTTCCTACAGCGCAGTAGTGTTACGGCCGGTGACAGCTGGGCTGAGGTCAGACCTGGTGAGAGTCATCCGAGGGAGCTGGACGTGCTGCGAAGGTTTTCAGCTGTCCGGGTCCTTGGTTCAACCCCTGTGCAGCTCTCGAACCTTCGCCTGGTGTCCCAGGAACCCATGGTTGGGGACCCCTTTGGTGGCAGCTCAGGCGGCTTCAACCACCCATGGAGCTGGACCTTAAGTTCCCTCCCCCAAATCTCCTTGTGTGCCAGAAGCGACGTGGAGAGGGGATGTGCGAGAAGATCGAGCTCCCTGTTCTGGTGAGAGGTGACCGATGGGAGAGCTACGGCTCCATGCCAGCCCTGTGTTCACCTGTGAGCTGGAGGAAGGTGAATGACGGGTGGTAGAAAGGGACAAGTCCTGCCTCCTGGTTCCTTGTTCTATCCTTTGGGCTGATGAGGAGGATAGTGAGGTCCCCTCCATGTAAGGAGGCCGATTCAGTGAGGATAAGGGTGAATTCATGCAGGTGGGAGCCCTTGGTGTGGCGTGGTGGGTTCTGAGTTGACCATTACCACTCAGGAGTGACCTTTGGGATGATGACCGACGGGTCCATGGAAACATCAACTTTAGTGTTCAGTAGCCATCAGAACATCAAATGAGATGTTGGGAAAGGAGCAGAGAAGAAAATGAGAAACACTTTGCTGCTGTGAAGTTGCTGGTGCACCAGCACCTGCACATGGGTCCCTTCATCCTGAGAAGGGTGCAGTAGAGCTGAAACAGTCTCTGCAAAAGCCCTGGGGACACCAGAGGTCTGGAACACCTTCCAGCCAAGCTGGACTCCTCTGTCTGGAAATGAGGTGCCCAAGAGGGGACAGGGTAGAGATAAAACTGCAGGTGATGTGGAGAGGGACCTCACTCTCTTCAAATACAAGAGCTGGGGTCCCGTGTGAAGCCTGTAAAAGGCAGGTTTAGGTGGAACATGTGACCACTTGGAGAACTCCTTGCCGTGGGGGGCTGGAGAAGGTTTGTGTCGGTTCAAGAGGGAGCGAGGCTCTTCTAGAAGAGAAATGCTTTTTGAGTTAGAGATGGATAGAGGTGATTCCCCTTCACCGAGCTGCAGATGCTTGGAGCCAGGTGGGAGCACTACGTGCTTGTGCTCAGACACCGGCTTTCTTCAGCCCAGGGCAGCAGGACCACGA